ATAAAATATTTATTTTTAATTTACCATTTTGTTCACGATTATAATAAAAGGGGTTGTTGCCATTAAAAATCTCAAATTAGTACCCCATTACAAATTTACTCAAAATTATTTTTTGTCAATCCAAACTTGTTCCCCTAATCCAGATGTATTATCCTTTTAGCATTTCGTCCAATATCCCATCACAATGCATACGTGTTAACATACGCGGTAGACAATTGTAAGACGGATCTAATAACGTGGAAAATCCACATGTGTTGACACGTATCCATTTCAGCATAGGGTACATAGGAAACAAAAAATGGTTTATAATAAATGTGTTATGGATACCAATTTGAGATCTTTAATGGTAGGGTTAATACCACGAAAAATCCAAAATTGGTACACATGTGACAATTTTACCAAAAACTAATTTTTTTTACCACAAAAAATTCCAAATTGGTATACAAGTGACAAATTTACCCTAAACTAATATTTTGACCACTAAAAACCCCAAACTGGTACATTTGTGACAAATTTACCCTCCGTTAGTTTCCGTTAAATTGGATTAATACCACAAAAAATCAAAAACTGATACACCTGTGACAAACGGAGAGTAAAACATAAAACCGGCACATCAGTCAGCTGCCAAGTGTCGTTTAACAAAGCAATTTGACCGTAAAATTTAACGGAAACAAATTGAGGGTAAATTTGTCACGGGTGTACCGGTTTTGGGGTTTTTGGTGGTCAAAAAATTAGTTTTGAGTAAAATTATTACGGGTATACCGGTTTGAGATTTTTCGTGATATTAACCCATAATAATATTAACTCTAATTAAGAGAGAGAGAGAGATAGCGTCGTCAATGGTGGTGGCTACATACGGAGGATCCGCACTAATTGCGACAACAGTAGTTGGAATGAAGGAATCAATGGGACGGCAGCCACGGAACCGTGTGTGAAATCAGTATTTCAAGACATAAGGGAACAAAATATGAAGAAAAAAACCAAAATGAATTACGATACCCAAAACGAACCAAAAAAAAAAAACGATCAGATTATCAAATCAGTCAGACACCACGTCGTATCTCTCATCGTGCGAGATTGACGAGCTTAACGAATACCCTCCACCGCACCGATTCCGCAAGTTGTGGAACTCGATTTTCACGGATCAAAAAGGCTTTCTTTTTTAAGATTGAATTACGCTTTGAGGAAAAAAAGATTTTAAAGGGCTTTTTGGTCGACGATCGCATGAATCTATTTTATCACCAATGAAATTTAACCCCATTTTTCCATGACGTCTCCTTCCTTTTTCCCTAAAAAACAAGCAAAAACGAAGATAAGTTCGTGACTTTGTGATCGAACATGAATCATAAGAAGATGTGGCTCAACGGGTGTTGGGCCCTAGCCCATTTCTTAAATTCTCTCTCTCTCTCCCTCTCTCTTCCATTTTTCCCCCTTTTCTCACAAATATTTTTGTAAAAAATTGTATGTATATCGCTTTATCGTCTTAAGGTGCATCTGTTTCACGGAATTTTCGAATAAAAGTTTAGGTCGCAATTTTCAGATATATCTAATGTGAATCTCGCCTTATTTATATAGCCGACGTAAATAAATGAATAATCTAAAAGTTGTACACCTATCTTTGAAAATAAGATCATGGGAAAGAATAACAATAAAAAAATCGACAGAATATAGACTAAATCATACAACTAAAAGAAAGTAGGAGAGAAAAAAAAACAGTATTCTTATTTATTTACGATTCTATTTATGCATTTGCAGAAGGAAAAATGACACAATTGGTCCCTGAATTTTGGCTTAATGTACAATGTCATCCCTGAACTTTTAATTTGTTCAATGTAATCCCTGAACTTTAGCCTAATGCGCAATTTGGTCCCTGAACTTTTAATTTATTATATGTGGTTTTTGGATTTTTTGTACATGTTCAGTTTAGTTCATGAACTATATGAAAATATTCAATGTTGTTCCCAATCTTGAATTAATGAAAGGATAGTATTGAACATTTTCATATAGTTCAAAGATTAAACTGAACATCTACCAAAAGTCTAGGGACCACATTGAGAAAAATTAAAAGTACAGAGACCACATTGCACATTAGGCTAAAGTTCAGAAACCACATTAAATAAATTAAAAGTTTATAGATCATATTACAGATCAGATCAAGTTTATCCTTTTGCAGAATCAACTTAGTTTTTTTTTTTTCATTTGTACTTCTTTTCGTGACTTGGACATCTTAAGTTTTGTTGAGGGTTCAATTTGGTGTTCAAACAAATCTAGTGGCATCAAAACTAAAAATATAATGGGGTCAAATTACATTAACTCGAAAAAGTTATAAGTATGATTGAAAATATTTTAAAGTTAAGTGGGCTTAATTAAAAATATTTACTCAACACAATGTGGCGTGGCCACTAATTACATCCTATAGTGAGCACTCAATCGAAAGATTTATTTTTATCCTTCAAACATTAGCTTAAATGTTTTTAATCCTATGTGATTATAGGATTTGAACAAATGTTCGAATACGATATTAACCAATCTAAGTTCACGACTAAACCCCTTTGCATCGCGAATTTCAGATTAGATATCGAGTTACTAAAGTTCTGAATTTTCTTGGATTCAAACATTAGTTTGAATATTTTTAATCCTACGTAATTATAGAATTCCCTTTCACTTTCCTTAAGTTAAGAGTGATAAGCATAAAAATTTGTGCACAAAATGGGGTATTATTTGGATTAGTGGAATTGCAATTGGCGCATGTAGCATGGCTAGATCTTTTGCATATGCATATAAATAATATGTTGACTTATTCAGGGCAAAAATACAAAGTAGGTTTTGAATCATATTTGGACATTAATTTGGGGATCTAATCTATAAGAAAATAAAGAACACTGCCCAAATTGAATAGGAAGAATAATACAGGGACCCCATTTATAATTTCCTCTCAATTTTTTTACTCGTAGATCCCACATTTGTTTCACATATTAATCTTTAATTCTCAGTCGATGCTTTTCATTTGTATTCCAAAACCCTGAATTTCCAAGTTAATATATAGACCAAATTTGTCGAGACAAAAAAGAAGAAGTATGGGGTGCAAAAATTAAGGGCCAGATATAAAAAAGAAGAACGACTATCATCGTGACGAATTTGACACAACCTTTCAAACGTATCAAGAAAGAGCGCAACGTTTTATCACCGTGACAAATTTAACACAATCTTTCAAATTCATTATAACAATGCACAACTTTTTGCAGTGTGTCAAAAATAGCATATGGCAACATTCGGTGCATGACCTTCCTTTATCCGAAACGGTCCTATTATGGAGATACATCTTTGAGCACTTGTCTTTGGGAGAGATACTGCGATTTTAGTACCGAGAAGACACCATTAAACCAATATAGATGAATGTTGATACCAGTCGTTACTATTTATTAAAGTAGCGAGAGCCGGGTGAGCCGAAATGTGGATAAGATTACATTGAGCATAGATAAAATACGAGAGGATGCTATTTTTTTTCGCAATGGCAAAAGGTTGTGTGATTTTATTTGGTGCATTTGAAAGATCATGTTAAATTTATCATAATGGTAAAAAGTTATCTTTTTTCTTTCGAAACATTTGAAAGGTCGTGATAATTTCTTTTAGGTTGCGCATGACAACGATTCTGTGCCCGGGAACAGATTCTGCTCAGAAATGATTCTTTTTGATTCTGTGCCCGGAATTGATTCTGAGCATTTTAAGGCGTTTGTTAAGGGCCCAAAATTCCATCTCTAGAATAGAAAAAGAACAGAAATGCGTTTGGTAACGCCACAAAATTTCTTTTTATTAATAATATTTTTAAATATTTTAATATTCCTTTTTTTTTTCTTTTCTTTTTTTCTTTTCCTCCTTCTTGGCCATAGCCTGCTCGCTGGCCATGACCGGTAAAATATTTTTTTATTAATAATATTTTTATTAAAAGTATTTTTTCTTTTTTTTGGCCATGGCCTGGTCGCCGGCCATGACCGGTAAAATATTTTTTTAAAATATATATATATATTTTTTGCCATGGCCTGGTTGCCGGCCATGGCCGGTAAAATATTTTTTTTATTAATAATTTTTTTATTAAAAATATACATTTTTATTTTTTTGGACCATGGCCTGGTCGCCGGCCATGGCTAGTAAAATATTTTTTATTAATAATATTTTTTATTAAAATTATATATTTTTATTTTTTTTGGCCATGGCCTGGTCGCCGGCCATGGCCGGTAAAATAATTTTTTTATTAAAATATTTTTTTAAAAAATATATTTTTTCTTTTTTTTTGCCATGGCCTGATCGCCGGCCATGACCTGTAAATTTTTTTTTTATTAATAATTTTTTTTATTAAAATATTTTTATTAAAAATATACATTTTTATTTTTTTTAGCCATGGCCTGGTTGCTGGTCATGGCCGGTAAAATATATTTTTTATTAATAATATTTTTTATTAAAATATTTTTATTAAAAATATATATTTTTATTTTTTATGGCCATGGCCTGGTCGCCGGCCATGGCCGGTAAAATATTTTTTATTAATAATATTTTTTATTAAAATATTTTATTCTCGTCAGATCCGGCGAGGGCGGTCTTCGGGCCGGACATTAGAAGCTAAATACAAAATCAAGAAAAGGAAGAAGAAAAAAAATTGATTCTCAAAATTGTTTCCAGAATCAAGAAGCTACTTTTTTTTGATTCTTGATTCTGCTCCAAAACTTATTCTGGGAACAATTTTTGATAAAATTGTGCCCAGAATCAAAAAACTAAACAAATGCATTTCTGTTCCCAAACTGATTCTGGGAACAAAAGAACAGAATCAAATACTATTTGGCAAGTTGTCATGCGTAGCCTTAGTGATAAAAGTTGGGCTACTTCTTAATGGTATTGGGCCAAAATTGAAGAGGCGCAAGACTTGGGGGACTCCTCTCGTAATTTCCCCAAACATTTATTTTCTCTCTCTCTCTCTCGTCACTCCACACTTTCCGCTCCCTCCATTTCTCTCTTTCCACTCCTCGCGGTCGCGGTCGCGGCCGCCCTCGCCGCCGCCGCCGCCGCCGCCGACGAGGTCGCTGCGCACCGCCCGAAGGCCACGGCCGTCGTATCTCTCGTCGCGGAGGTCGACCCTCGTTCGAGGCCAAGTCGTTCTAGGTTGGTGTTTTCTCGAACTTTTCCCTTTCGGTTTCTTGTTGCTGTTCGTGTTCGATTTCGTGGGTCTGGTGGGTCTGTTTCATTGCGGGGCTTCTCCTGCCGATCTTGTTTTTCTGGCCTTTGCACGGTGCTGAGCGAACTTGTCTGTAATTTTCTCTAGCGTTCCTGTTTTCTCGGCCCCCTTTGCAGTTCTTTAGCAGATAGATGTGTTTTGACTAGGGGGTGTCGACTCTTGATGCAATGCGAGAACGGGGCTTTGTTAGGCAGGCGTTTGTCTAGAGTACCCCGGATTTGATCCCACATGGAAACGACCGAAGTTGAAACTGCCGCACTGAAGCGTTCTGACCCATTTGCAAGCAAAAGGAATTTGTCAACGCAACGAATCGATTTTTAGCAATATTTGTAATGTAATGTGAAATGACGAGTAGCTGGCAGGGATACGATGACATGACGTGAATTGGCAGCCCATGTACCCGGAAATGGTGCCGATCTTGTTGGTTTGGTTGGAGTTTCTTGGGTTTGTTCTTGGCTGTGATGATTCTTTTTGTGATGCTATTGCCCCATGTTGAAGGTTCTCTGCATGTTCTGGGTCAATGTAATGTGCTCATGTCTCTCAATTGCCTCTAGCGGTACGTCCAGGTTTTCTATTGTTAGATGCATATCTTCTGTTTAGAGCTGTTGTTAGTAAGGTTAGAAGATGAGGTAGATCAAGCGCTACAATATGAAGTTGACGTGGTAATGCAAAAAGTGAAATTTCTGATAGGCGGAGGAGGATTTCTAAGAGGTATAAAAAAATGGCTCGGTTTTTGATAATTTTTGCATGTAATATTGGTGTCTTAAGTTCTCGGTGTTTCCATTTGGACATTTATTCTGGCTTCTGCCATTGCCGAACCCTCCTTGGTATGGTCTTTACTTACAATGAAACAACTCATGGCTTTTACTTAAAATCAACATGAAAATCGTGACTTTATCCTCTAGATGGTTGGTCTAATGAGTGTGACTAGATCACTGATAATAATGATCACGCTAGCTATGGCCCATGGAACAGGATGGAGCCACACATGGTTCCTGTTCTTGAAAGTTATAGCCCCGGTATTTAAACTTCTAATATTGATGGATTTCATAATGCTTTTTCATCAATTACAATTCTTGCATATCTAAATATCAGAAGAAGACTAGCACTCACCTCAAGGTTAAATGTCTGTAGATATCGTGAGTAGCGTGAGTAGTTAACGATCATCTCATAATTCCCCTCAGAAACTTATAAGCAACACTGAAGATTGATGCTTCTTTCCTTGTTCATTTATTTGTTCCATTGTTCCTTGGTAGTTCTTATTCTTTGCAGCTAGAACAATTGTGTTTCTTGAAAATTTAACATTGAGAAGTGACAGATGAAGGAAAAATTACCTGCGTTACAACTCATAGAAAATAAAACGTGTTTTACCATGTAAAGTTTCTTCCACATTCTGCTTATTTAATGTCAATTCACAGGTTTAGAAAATATGGATGCACAAGCATATCCAGACCATCCGCAGATGAAATCTGCTGTTGTTCTTAGAGGGACTGCCAAAGATGGGAAACCTGGACCCCCCGTTGGTGTTGTTGATATTGGGGTGGCTGAGAAAGCCTATCTATTTCGGGTTGCTGTGCCTGGTGTTGACAAGGAATCAGGTATTCACCATTGTTTTTTCTTTTGGCCTGTGTTCTTTGTGTATGCTTGTTATGTAAATATAGCATAATGTTCCTCAGGAAAGAAAGCAAAATTGGTTGCCACCGTGAGGCGGAGAGCATGATTATTTCAAGTGATTTCACAAGATCGTTGTTATGTAGTGAGATATTGTGATTAATTTTTGTGTCCACATTATATGAACGTGCATGCATAAATTTGTGATGTTTTGCTTATATCCATTGATTTATCCACATCAAATTCACTATATTAGATTATTTTATGCACTGTTTTCAGAGAGATGAGCTTGGGCTCTGTTTTGCAAGAAGCAGACGAGGTCAAGTTGATTTTGAGTTCGTTGATTATATTATCAAGGAAGTAAAAAAAAAATGTAGTTGAGTTTCTTGAACAAAGACTTTCTGAGCTAGTTATGTCCAAGCATCTTGCTTTATCAACTTAACTGAATAAGCTTGAGGTTGACCCTATTGTCATCTAGGTGAGCGGAAAAGAGTGACGAAATGTTGCCTGTGGATTGCTTGTTAACTTATAGCATTTTACTGCATGTGAGATCTTGTCAAGTTCTTTGCTTATCTTTTGTATTGCCTTCTCCTCTCATACACCCATGCAGCAGAACCTGCATGGTGTTGCTACGGTGACATCACTAAAGCATGCTTAATTTATTTTTGTTCAACTGTAAGCAGTGATTATGTTCTAGCTTGTCGTATTAAAAGAATCGTTGTGCTTTTATTGAGAAGGTAAGCTGAAATTTTCCATTGGAGCCAATGGGAGGATTGAAATACAGGGTGAGATCACGGATAGAGGCGTTCTGAGCAGCTCATCAGACGTGTACCGGATGATAACCCAGCAACTGAGTCCAACGGGGCCGTTCTCTGTTTATTTTAACCTGCCTGGACCTGTAGATACCCGTTTTACTATTGCCAATTTCCGTCAAGATGGCATTCTGGAAGTAATGGCCTTCAAAAAGTGAAGTCCAGTGGTCTTGCTAATGTTCTTGTTCAGAAGTTACATGTACAGGGCACACAATGAGCAAATATTGCCGTTTTCTGTGAGGCACTCGACTCATCTGGATTATATCAGTGCTGTCTCAAAAACCTGAATTCTCGGAGTTAACTGTTGCGTACTTGCAGATAAAGCCTGAAGCTGTTTTAATCTTGGCCCCATAATGAAGGGGAACGCAATCACACAGATTCGGTCATATTTTGGGCAGGCACCATTTTCTTGTTGGTTTTATCTTGTATCCGGGTAGATTTTCCTAGTTATATACGGAGCGTCGGAGATATGACTTGTGTATCGCGGCAAAACATCGATTGTTGGTGACATTATGTGAAGTACTGTCGTAGCGCAGAATTGGATGTTATCTTCAAAGTCTCTGTTCTCTGCTCTGCAGGCGAGATGCTTGTGCAGTCGGTCCATTCATTTACCATCTCACTTTTCTTTTGCTCGCACTTGTTTGCGGCTCTGATGTAGGGTGAGCTAAAACGGTCCGAGCTGTGAAATCCAATCAAACCAAATCGGTTTTTAGCAGTTTGGTTTGGCTTTTTGAGGAGAACCGGTTCACGGACCAACCTTTAAGGCTCCGTTAGAGACGAACTGGCTACGAGTTCTTTTATTGCCTATCATGTTCGCAGTCTTCGGTGCAACACTCTATAAGTAGAACAGCTTAGGTTCACTGGTACCAACTTGCGAAAACCAGGACGAAGCGTTGAAATCAATTATGCATTCATGTCCACGACTTCGGGGACTTGCACTAGTGAGTTTTGTGAGACCCCCCTTTTACGATACATCCAAAAACTAAATTGAATTACGAGAAAATTTGATGTTTAGACCATGTTAGCTATAAAGAAAGAAATTGCTACTCTTATGACCTTTCTTCTTCTTTTTCAACCTTTCAAATTTCTTTTTTCTTTTATAATTCAGGGGCACGACCGCGGAGACTTGGCTAACTGGAGGCTCATGGAATACCCTATAAATCCAATGAATTGATTATGTCTAGACCATTAGCCCGTGTTGGTGGTCTTGATGTAGAGTGGTTTATCTGCAATTGACGGGATTTGAGTGGCTAGCCTCCGGTGAGCCGAAAATCTCCCGACACTTTAACTAACTGTGCTAACCTTGAGCGTTGGAACCTTCGCAAGGAGAACAAAAAAATTCTGCTTCTTATTCTAGATGTACAGTATATAGATCAGTTAATGTTTTCAAATGGATGGGGAAGAAGTAATGATTTTTACTATTATTTCAACGTAGGATTCACATCTGATTGGAGTCCAGGAGAACACAAATCATTCAGTCACCCTTCTTCAAAACCCTAATTCCCTTCCAGCGGGACTCCATGTAGTAGGAAGCGTTGTCTTGTGCATAGACTCCACACTTGAAGTAATGGAAGGTACCTCCATGACCGCTCGTTTCGAACTTGAACTCGCCGTCGATGTAGACCTTCAGGTTCGACGCAGCCACGTCGTGGATGATGTTGACCCTGAACCACCTGTCGTAGATGTCCGGAACCAAGACCGTGTCATGGTAGTAGTACAAGGAACCGTTGTAGACTCTGAGCATCAGGGTCGTGTTCCGAGGGAACGCGGCTCCAAAGACCTGCGTGATGCACACGCCCGAAGTGCCGCACGGCACGTACCCGTGCGCTTCGAACTGCCACACTCCGGAGTAGTAGATGTATTGCTGCGCGGTCGAAAAACGATCCCATTTCAGCGCGATACACGCATTCATTCACACATCAACAGAAGAACAGAATCAAGATTTGAGGGGAGAGCAAGCAAACGTTGAGGAAGATCTCGGAGCGAGGCCTGGTGGGGCTTCCCTTGGAGAGAGGGTGGTCGCTGGAGTAAACCCAGAGCTTGTGGATTCCATTGATGAAGCTGTACCTGTCGCTCACCGGCAGATCATACGGCTTTTGTATGTGCAGGTTGGACTGGTTCAGCGGTAGCTCTTCGAAGCTGGAGGTCGGGTCCGGTTGCCAGCCACTTGATGATGATGAGGGAGTCAAAGTCGAGATCAATGGAAGAAGGAGAAGAAGGAAGAGGGTGAGTTTGGAAATGGTGGGTGAGAGATATTGGTGGTGGAGAGAGCCATCACGAGCGTCCATTTGAGACTTTCAAGCTAAAAGACCAGTGCCAGAGACTAACCTGAAAAATATTGCCAATCATGCACCATGTAGAATATCACTTACATATAGAGAGATTTAATTTAGGTCCAACATTGATGGCAAGAGATAAAAAAAAAAAATTCGCAAATGACATCGAGTACAATGAAGTGAGTGGTTAATTAATGTAAATTTGTCTGTAGATGTGTTGCGAGATCTATGGCGACGTTTGTGAATATGTTATTTCGCTGACAGTGGACCTAAAAGAAATTTATATATATATTTACGTCGTTTTGTAGTAAAGAAATAGATAATTGTTTTCGTATATCAAATTTGAGCTTGGGGTTGCATGCCCTACTCTTTAAAAAAAAATAAAAATAAATTGTGGTTAATTTAGAAAGCACTTTAGATGGAGGCTATTATGCTAATTGAATACACTTATTGCAGTGACATATGGAGTTAATAGATTGGTCGAATCTCCATGTGTAGTCAGGATTAAATTTGCTTATATAAAAATTTCGCAATGCGTTAACGGACCTAACAAAAATCCATGAATATAATGTGGATTGATTTATTTGAGGAATAAATCCTTAATATACCTATATGAGTATATGCTTCATATATTCGAATGGAATCTTCCTTTGTGTTTACATTATGGTAACAACATAAGCGGTTCTGAGGGGTCATCCTATTCAGTATTCAATAAAGGATCTTGAAATATTCCTAAAAGATTCGTGAAATTTTTCTTGTAGGGTTAAATTTGGATGGCCAATTTGGCAAATTTTTGACCTAGGACACAAGGGGTGCCAACCCCAAAAAGATGGTCGTAATATACATACACTCAAAAAAGAAAAATGTAACGAAAATGAACAAATTTAACACGAGCTCGGGACGCTAACTTTAGGAGCGCAGAGAGTACGGCATTCACATCTATCCAAACCAATTGCCATATATCTTGTGTTATCTTTTCAATTGAAAGTAGGGAAAAAGCCACAAAAAACTCTAAATTATGTCCACCGTGATATATTTACCTTATACTTTTCTTTGTGACATTAAAAACCCCAAAATTGTGCATATATGACACATTTATCCTTCGATTTATCAGATGATTTTTCAACCAAAACAACGTCGTTTTTATTTCATTTAAATATCGTTTGCTTTCTGGTGTCTATATAGGCAAATTTTTAACGATTCTCATTTACAGAACTTTGATGGAGGGTAAATGTGTCTTACAAATACAAGTTTGAGATTTTTGGTGCTACAAAAAAGTTTAGAGTCAATGTGTCATCGTGTGCATAATTTAGGGTTTTTGGTGGCTTTGCCCTAGAAAGTAAGCAAACTCGAGTGGTAATTAATTTAGGCAGATCGATACCGTCATGCTTCAGGAACACCCCTTAACACAAATCGCCAAAAAGTCTTGAGGCAAAATTAATTTATGACCTACAAATGGACCCCGAAAAATAATTAACTAATAATGGTGACAGCCGACGATGAAAGTTATGTTTCCGCGACAGTCAACCCGAGTGTGAATAACAGCATAGACAGATGAAAGAGATATTGTCCAATATTGACAAAAAAATTATTATTTTTATTAAAAGCTTAAGCCCACCTACTAATTATCTTATTAGGCTTTTCCTTTGTCTTATTTACTCGTCATTTTGCATTCTCGCATGGAATCGACTTTGGGTCATGAAATTTTCAACGGAGCTCGTAAGTTTGTTTTTTTTTTCTAGAGCTTGTTTGTTATATGAACCATAGACTAAATTTTGGCTCTTGTTAATTGTTAATCATGGACGATCGACATCTAAATTCCGAAAAAGAAAAGTACAAAAGGGAGCCGTCGAGCATCATTTGACAATATGAATATAGTGTTACGTAATATTTAGGTGTGCAAAAATTGGTGGATGTTCTTATTAGCTCTTGGAGGAATATTACTTGAGGTTGAGGGCAAATAAGTGCTAAAAAGTTAGATAATCGGGATTAAATGATATTCTTTGTAGTGGAGAAAAAATCTCCTTGTAAATGGGGGTAAATTATTGAAGTCAATTTAGTGCATTGACAGGCCACCACGTCCATATATTATAGCAAATAGACCGCACTAAGAGCGGATTTTTAGTATTTTTATTGTTTTTGTAAAAGCAAACATTGACGATTTATGGTAATTACGAAGTAGCGAGAAATGTTTGTAGAACGTCGAACTAGATCGGTGCTCATGTGTATTAGCTAAGTCGGCTACACATAACACAGTAGACCATCTCGTCAATCTCTACTGTGCAGTACGCACATTGCAGAACCATGCAAAATGCCCATATTTACGTATAATTTCTGCAATTTTTATCTTGCTCGAATCGGTTCGTTGTTTACGCTTCTGCGTTTGCATTAGTTGGAGCACAGTCTTTGTAGGACTCTTATGAGACCCACATTAGCCCCACAAGTCTTACTCATTGTTGTGACTCAAGGATGCCATTAGGACTTCTTCAGTAATAATATAGCGCCTTCCTCGACTCACCGAGCTACTTTGCTAGCTAACTGTATTTTACAATGTCACTCCTCTCTATTTATTGCAATATTCAATAGCAAAGACCCTCGACTTCACTCTCTTATGTCTTCACTGAAGTCCTAAATCTTATGTAAAGAATGCAATCGAGCATTAAATCTTTGAATTGTGCATTCGAGTCCTATACCTTTCCGAAAATGCAACTGAGTATTTCTGATACACAGTGCCAAAAGTTGCCTGAGTGAGACTCGAAATTTGCATACGTGGTGGACTGAAGATCTATTTTTCAGTATGTGTGGGACTTGCTTGCACTTTGGAATGTCTTTAAGTAAAAGTATAGGATTTGATTATATCAATTAGAGGATTTAGACCTTGACTCTACTCTATATTTTGCTTTAGAACTTTCAAGATGGCACTTTCGTTAAGCAACCCTTTAGCGAGGCGCCTAGGCAAGCTACCTCAGCAAGGGTTATCACCCGCAAGCGAAGGTCTCCTAAGGGTGGCAGGCCAATGAAAGAGCCAGGATTTACAAGGTTTGCACCGTTTCCATAATCTGTCCATCCATTTTCCAATGTACCTAAAGGACACGGGTCAAGGCACATGTTCTCATAGAGAAAAGCGCGCTGACTAGCGCATTCTTACGTAGTCAACTCAGTTATTATTACAAAAGTAGCGACGATTCAGTCGATGTAACTAATGAAAACAAAAGGTCTCTCAATCACATATCTTGAGAACCTTGATTCCCTTCCAACGTGACTCCATATAGTAGGAAGCATCATCTTGAGCATACACCCCGCACTTGAAGTAATGTGAAGCCCCACCGCGACCAGGAGCCACCATCTTGAGCTGTTCGTCTATGTAGATCTTCACGGTGGAGGTGTTCAAGTCGTGTATCACGTTGAGCTTGAACCATCTGTCGTAAACGTTCTCGAGCAAGACCGGGCTTCTGTAATAGTATAACGAGCCATTATAGACTCGGAGCATTACGGTTGTGGCGTGAGGGCTCGCCCCAAAGACTTGCATGATGCACACGCCCGATGTTCCGCACGGCACGTACCCATATCCTTCGAATTGCCACACTCCGGACGAATAATCATATCCCTATAATTCAGTTTCATTAAGCATTATTAGTCGATGAAAAACACATATTATAAACAATGTTTCCTCGGTGTGAGTGTGACATAGTATTTGGATAGATTAAGTGTTTTTGATACGATAGGATAGTGATTTCACTGATTTGACCATGACTAAACAAAATCGTAGTTTATCTGTCTTGAAACGTCGTTGCAAATGTCTGATCCTTATGTCACTATGCAGCTTGTGATGCAATGGATCACTGAAAGTAAAGGCCACTACAATAACACATGAATAATGACCTTGTGAGTCACGCTTTTGTCATTCTTTTCAAAGCCGGCACTCGGACTAGAATCATGAACTTATGAGTGAAATCGCTGACCAAAAAATTACTCCTAACTCGGGTTTATAATTCTCGATATATTGGGGTTTCTGCTGATCTCGGTTACGTTGCAAGTTCGGGAGCAGCGAAAGCTTACGCTGATGCGGATCTCGGTGCGAGGGTTGGTTCGGCTTGTGGGCGTGTGAGGCTTGTCACTGGAAAACACCCAAAGCTTGTGAACTCCATCTTTGAATGAATATCGCTCGTCTTCAGGTACGTCGTAGGGTCGTTGAATATCGAAGTTGGATTGATTCAGCGGAAGAGACAGGAACCCTTTGGTTGGATCAACGTGTCCCCAAGAGGCAATGCGGTGGACGAGGCCTAACAACAGAGAGATTGAAAGAAGAAGGCGTGTCATTTTCTGTGGGAAAAGCAGGTAGAAGTTGAAGGGTTTTTGGTGTTTTGCTTTGAGCACAGATTGGCGAGCAGGTCCTGATTTTAATGGGAGCAGAAGTTGGTGGCCATGGTGTTTTAAAATGTGCTGTATTCATTGTCCTTTTGTGCTTGGATCCTTTTTGATGGTGGATTTCGTGCTTGTCATTAAGCACTCGCGGGTCAATGCTCTTGGTGAGCTCATGTAGAGATGAATGAAATTCATGGCGTATAGTTGTTACCTTTCTTATATGAAAACTCTGTTAGTCACATGAGCAAGTTGCCGACAATATTAGGAATCTCGCCCATTTTATTAAGGGTAATGTTTACCAGTATTTCGGGTAGGTATTAGATATATTTTATATAAGATAATTCGATTCTCAAGTTACTGATCGTGTATAACACAATGACAATTAATGAGTATAAAACTGTAAAGTTTAATTTGTTGATTGTTTAACAAGTAATCCTGAGGCACTCATTGGCATAATCCTTCCAAAGATTACTAATTAATTGACCAAAATTAGTCATCTCCTTTTTTTTTGGTTCTGTGCCACCAAAGCAGGAAGTTTTTTTAGAAATTTCTCTCTCTATATATGAAATTATAAATGATAAACTTTAAGCTTGTGTATTCTATCTAAAATTTGTTTGCTATCCAATTCAATATAGTTTTTTTGGCCAACCTATTCGATATACTTTAATTATAAAAAATGATTTGATTATTTTGAAGTACTTTCTCTAGAAAAAATGCTTGGAGGACGGTACCGTCACTTTCTTCCATAAAGTGACAGGTACCCTTGTGGCTACACATCTCCTCTTTCACATGAACAATCTATTTAAAAAATGTTTAAAAATGGCTACCTGACCACATACACTTGGTGATGTGTGGTCGGGAGTGTACCATCACTTTCCACAAAGTGACGGTATCGTCCTCTAAGCATTGCCCTTCTCTAGATACGTCTCTAGTTGTGGTCGTAACCTACCACCAATGGCAACCCTTGGGCTAAAGGCTATCATTGCCTGAGGAAGCGAAACCTCAAGCGGGGGCTTCCTCATTAGATTTGATGAACGCTTGGGGAGCAACACTCTAGCAAGGCACCTGAGGAAGCTGCCTTAGCAAGGGTTAACACCTGTGGCCTTAACTATGCTTGAAACACCGCAACAGAATGGAGTTGTCGAATGGAGAAATAGAAAATTCTTTGAGAGAACCCAATGTTTTCTCTTACATGCTGGTTTATCACGAGATTTCTAGGCTAAGGTTATGAATATGTGCCATTAGGTTTTGGATTCCAGAGCAAGCAGTGAACCGGTCAACCTACTTATATCTTGAGCATGCGAGTGCTTGGATGCAAGCATGGTGGCACGTGTGATGGCTCCAAGCTTCCGTTGATGACGAGATTTCGGTATGTTGTACATTTGATGGCAGCAAGTTTGGTGGTGGTGTCGGCTTCTTGAAACGAGAATTGAAAAATCGAGAATCGGAGGCCAACAACATGCGTCCTTTGCGGTCGACTTTGCTGTTGGAATAGTAACTGAACAAACGCGCCAATACAGATGGCATGGTTACAACAAGAGGAATAAGTAGGCTTTGCTGAGCAAAAGTTATTGTGCGAAGACGAGTCTTCGTGGCTTCGAAAAATACCTCCGTGAAAAAGAAAAGCTCGACTTGGCGATGCATTGCCGACGTTGTAACACGATCATCATGGCGCTTGGTTAGACGCCAATGAGGCACTCCGGTGAATATTGTCGAGTGGCGGGATGGATTTATTCTGCTACGAGGTGCGTGGGGTACGAAGTGCACTCGGGTTGCGTCAAGAAATGAGGCTTTAATATCAAGTTAAGAATAATGTGAAAGATAAGAATTTAGAAATTTCAGTATATTTCGATGTATCATAATGAAGAATACATCAGTCTATTTATAAGTTTTATGAAATGACTATCTAATGTAACATCTATGAATCAAGATATGCACAATTAAAGGTAAATATACATGCAATGTTGAGAGATATATATAATCAACAGAATTATGAAATATTTCTAACATAGAAAATTATCCTAAAGAAATCCCTAACTGTCTCTAATAAAGCTGATGAACGACTGGAGAGAAACCCTTTAGGTAGGCGCCTAAGGATAAGTCGACTTTTATCGTGGTCGACTAGGTTGTTATTACAAAAGAAGTGACGACTAAGTCGACGCGATATCTAGAGAAAAAGGTCCATCAATCACTCATCTTAAGAACATTGATTCCCTTCCAACGCGACTCCATATAGTAGGAAGGATAACGTTGAGCATAAACCCCGCACTTGAAGTAGTGTGTGGCCTCACCACGACCAGGAGCCACCAACTTGAGCTGTCCATCTATGTAGATCTTCACGGTGGAGGCGTTCACGTCGTGTATCACATTTACCTTGAACCATCTGTCGTAAATGTTCTCAAGCAACACCGTGGTTCTGTAGTAAGACAACGAGCCATCGTAGACTACGAGAGCTGCGGTTGTGGCGTGAGGGCTCGCCCCGAAGACTTGCATGATGCACACGCCCGATGTTCCACGTGGCACGTACCCATATCCTTCGAATTGCCACACTCCGGAGGAATAATCATATCCCTGTAATTCAGTATGGTTAAGCATTATTAGTTGGTGAAAAGCACATATGATGAGTATACCACGGCTAAATGAAATCGCAGTTTGTCTGTCTTGAAATTTCGTTGCGAGTTCTGATCCTTATGTCAACATGTAGCTTGTGATGCAATGGATCACTCAAAAAAGTAAAAGCTACTACAATAACGCATGAATAATAATCTTGCGAGTCACGCTTAGGCCGGAGCTCGAACTAGAGACGTGAACTTACGAATGAAATCACTAACCAATAAATCACCTCCAAACATCAATAATTGCCATCCGGACCCGGGTTTATATCTTGATCTATCGGGTTTCTGGTGATGATTTCAATTGCATTGCGAGTTCGGGATCATTGAAAGCTTACACGGATATGAATCTCGGTGCGAGGCTCGGTTCGGCTCATGGGAGTGTGAGGCTTGTCACTGGAATACACCCAAAGCTTGTGAACCCCATGTTGGAAGGAATACCGCTCATCCTCAGGCACGTCGTAGGGTCGTTGAACATCGAAGTTGGATTGATTCAATGGAAGAGACACGAACCCTTTCGTTGGATCCACGGGTCCCGAAGAGGCAATGTGGTGGACGAGGCCTAGGCAGAGAGAAATCGAAAGAAGAAGGCGCGTCATTTTCTATGAGAAAAGCAGGAGAAATTAGTGAAGCAAGTCGAAGTTAAAAAGCTCGAGTAGATGATGGGCAAGGAGGTCGAGACTTTATTGGGAGAAGAAGTAGGTGGCTATGGAATTATCAATGTGCTATATTCATTGTCTTTTTGTACTTGGATGCTTGTGCTTGTCATTAGGAGCTCAAGTAAACAAATGAAATTCATGGCCTGCATCTACATTGCTTATATGAAAACTTGTTAAGTCACTTGAACAAGTTACTAACTTTATTAGGATTCTTTCTTTTTGGTAATGTTCATGTTAATGAGTGTCTCGGGATACCTGCTAAGTATATCTTATTTACAATAATTTGATTTTTAAGATTTGATTGTGCATAATGCGAAAGTAATAAATGCATAAAAATTGTAATGGTGTCATTAATTAGTTGCTTATCAAGCTCTCCTGAAGCACTTGTTATTGTAATCCTTTTAAAAATTGCTAACTATTTGGAAAAAAAATAGTCACTGCTATCTTTTTTTTTTGTGACACCAAAGAAGAAAGTTTCTCTGGGAATATCTTTCTCTATAGTGTATATATTTGGATATATATGAAATTATGAATGATAACTATTGAGTTTGTCTATTTTATTTATAACTTTTTCTAAAGCCCTATACAACATAATTTCTTTGGCCAACCTATTCGATATATTTTAATTATAAAAGAATGTTTGATTATTTTATTCTCATAATATAAAGTTAAGTTTAACTTCTTGAATTTTTATTTTTTCAAAATTACGTTAGGATACGGTAATATACCTATGAAAATAGTTATTATTCTTGCAAACTTGATTTACTATTCTTTCAAACTCAACAGAGCCATATTTGGCCCCGTTGCCCTTGACAGAGCGAATATTTGGCGCTGTCGAGGATGTCGCGGCCAAATCTGGCCCCATTCAGTATGGGGGGCCAGCATTGGCTCCTTTCGTGATAATCATCACAATTGTCAGGCCACTATTCCTTTTGCACTTCTCTTTTGCAACATTGCGTTCAATGTAGAAGGTACGAAATCGTGGTTACAAAGCAATCAAATGAAGCTTACTATCCGAAAACCATCATTTCAATTGCATTTTCTCTGGAGAACCTTTGACATCCTTCCAACGTTTGTAGACATTCACATTGGAGGCATCGACGTCATGTATCATGTTGAGCTCGAACTATTACAATTGCCATCTCGTAGCACCACCGTTACACCGATTTCCCGTTCCTAAATCAAAACTCTTTCATCAACCACCCACACCGATCGGCCATAGATGGAGTAAGACACTTAGAAAATTACGCAATTTTCTCTTCTACATTATTCTTATTTTAGGAAAATATATGTATTAGAGTGTGGAAATATTGGGGTAAGACACTTACCTGAACTGCTGGGTCTTTCTAAATGAAAGTGATCCATTGTGTCCGATGTTGGTCGATAAGTGATGATCTGATCATGACAAATGGCCCAATGTCATGACAAATGGCAATGGTCATAACACGTGGTCAAACCACGTTTAGTGGCCAATTTTGTTGAGCTTTTGGACAGTGGTTCCATCGCTCATCCTTCCAATGAGATGAACTTTAAGGGGAGGTCTTGACAGGTGGTCACCCGTTGGGAATGGATGACTTGAGATACTTATCCGAGCGACGCATTTTCGTATAACGCTCGTCCGACAAGAAGCCTACGACCTACCTGTCGAGTACAAGTGACACATGGCTCGCGTAAATTAGTGAGTCAAATGCGTCAGCATCAGTCTCTATACTTGCTTTTACAAGAGGACGACAGCTACATTTTGGCATTGCAAAGAACTACATGGGACAGAGTGGGGCATGGTGCTAGATTAATGGCCTTGATGTGACCTTCATTTACAGACTTAGGTATCAGGACAGAGTATATTCGACACCAAAATATAAAGATAGGGGGAAAGAGGACCGCCTTGCTTTAGTCGCTCTATCCGTTGCAAGTATCCTTAGAGGTTCTCCGTTGACTTTGAAACTGACAGACGATGTTTTCTTTTCAAGACAGATAATGTTGTTATGTGTTGCATAATCTGAGTTTTTCATCTGTCAAGAAACGGTGATGCTAGCATAAGGGCACCGTTAGATAGGATTTCTAACGGTGCCATTGACACCAAATATTTTCTTCCAAACAAGTTCTGTCAATTGAGGGTGAAAACAAAGTTTCATTCCAAACAAGCTTTTCTTGAAGAAATTTGTGGTCGAGAGAGTACCGTTTCTCTCATTGCAGGATACGGACGGTCATTTCATCATTTCTCGTCGAGAAAACCCATTCTTTCCAAAATTCCTTTCAAAATATCCCATTCTGGGTTATTCTGCAGCAGAACATCTCTAGGTTTTTAACCCTTACCAAAAAAAAAACATCTCTAGGTTTTTAAGTGTGTTAAGATTTGGTCGAACGAAGTTCGAAACTCTCATGATAATCATCGAAATTGTCCGGCCACTAGATTCGTTTTTTGTTCATCTACTATAAGTCTACGTCGGATATGATTTAGTTGGACATCTCTTTCGTCGACACCAAAGCCGAATGAGGCCATGCTATATTCTGTTTGCTCGGAGGTCATACGTCTGCACATCGAAATTCTTTGGTGTTGTCAAAGCACAAAATCTCCATCTAGTCCATCCTTACATGCTAAGATCTTGTGAATTTTCCTGTTCTTTGCACGACTGGCGTATGCTGTTTCTTTGTGATCAACAGCTTAACTATCTCTTCTCGATTCACTTTCTGCTTCATATCAATCGATTGTTAATTTATTCTCGCTTGTTCTCATACTCGACAAGTTTATATGCAGTGATGTGTGGGGAGAGGGTGGTTGCTATTCAGTAGGAGGTCTGGCGCGGTGCCGCCTCCTAATCTATGAGACATATGAGAAAAAGAAAGAGTCATGTGGTCGTACAAAGTTAAAGGAGCTACTGGAATTATTTTCGTATCTATATAGGCGATACGAAGAGCCATTACAAAGCAAGTAAAACTTGCTATACGAAGCCATCATTTCACTTAATTTTTCTTGAGAACCTTGACATCCTTCCAACGTGACTCCATGCAGTGAGAGGAATTATCTTGAGCATAAACCCCGAACTTGAAATAGTGCAAATCCCCACCGCGGTCCGGAACCTCATACCTGAGTTGGTCATCCATGTAGATCTTCACATTGGAGTCGCCGACGTCATGTATCACGTTGAGCTTGAACCATTTGTTGTAGATGTTCTCGACCAAGACTTGGCTTCTGTAGTAATACAACGTGCCATTGTAGACCCGGAGCATGGAGGTTGTGGTATGACCGACAGCCCCGAATATTTGCATGATGCAGACGCCAGACGTTCCGCCTGGCACGTATCCTTGCCCTTCGAATTGCCACACTCCGGAGGAATAGTCATATCCCTGTTCAATGTCTTCGTCTCGTTAGCATTCAATGGTCGGTGAAAGGATTTCCAAAGTTTAACAACGGAATACTAATATAGATTATATGATGAGTCCCCAGATAACATGGATCAAGTCCAATGTGAGGAGCTTTCGACGAAGATCGTGGTTCTCACTTGCACGAGACCACTCGCACTTCACGGTTCGAATAATACAGAGTGCTACTAATGATGTTTTTGAGCCAATATGTGTATGCTAAAATCAATTTTCATTAACACCGTGTATGTTATCTTTCTACAAGTTTAAACACCTCCAATATCATTTGATTGGATAGAATGCCAGTGTATACATCTAGTCTACACATGATTGAACAAAATTAGAATTCGTTGTCGAACACTTACCAGAGAAATCGTACATCGAGACGCATATACAAAGCACAATTATCACCAGAATACCGACTTATAATGCTTCTATATAGGGTTTCTTTCTGGTTATCACATCCCCCGTCCGGCTCCGGGGTCCCAAAGCTTGGGGCGTAACACTGTTGAGCTAGACTAGTCATGAAGGTAGCTTACCCTTATACGGATTTCGGTGCGCGGCTCGGTTTGGCTTGTGGGGGTGTGAGGCTTGTCGGTGTCGAACACCCACAGCTTGTGAACTCCATCTTCGAAGCTGTATCTCTGATCTACCGGCACGTCGTACGGCCTTTGCACTTGGAAGTTGGATTGATTCAGCGGAAGCGATGTGAACCCGTCTGCGGGATCAATCTGCGCCTGAGCATCAACTTGGCGTGGCACCAAATAACCCAGGCTCAAGCACAAAAGAATTGCAAGGATTCTCATGTTCAAGGGCTCTAGTGAGGGACGAAAGAGAGAGATGAGGAAGATAATTGTTTGCACGTAGGGTGATGGTGAAAGGATAGCCACAAAATTTACCTTTTTCCAACAGAGAGAGAGAGAGAGAGAGAGAGAGAGAGAGAGAGAGATGAAGAAGATAATTGTTTGCGCGTAGTGGACGGTGAAAAATGATGGCCACAAGATTTACCTTTTTCCAACACAAGCGCGTGGAAATTTCCAAGCAAAACAAGCTCCCTCTCTCGCATGTGGAAAATGCGTGACTGATTGATTGACTGTTCGTTTTCCAAGCCAACGGTACGGTTAGCCAGGAGCGAGCACTTCTAGATTTCTTATAAATTTAATCTAAAACCTTAAATCGTTAGAACATATTTATCGTTATTTAGAATTTGAAACCTAGTTTGCATATCCTGAAGCTTACTTATCACAAATTCCGGGATTTAACAATTTTGTTTATTTTATTTTTAGTTAAGCAAAATGAGAGTAAATGCAATAACAAAAATATAGTTGTATGTCATAAATTATAAAGTATGAAATCAAATAAAGCAACTTACATTGTAGGAAGCAACAGAGGGTTGCCAAACCCAATGAATTGGCAGAGCCTGAGTGGCCTTATTCTGTATGGCCTCCAATAACATTTCCAAAACATTGCTCAAATCTCACCGGACTCAACTTGAAAATCGAACGAAACACCCTATTTAAGATTGAATCGTTTCAATAATAATTTGTAACTCAGAATTCTCTAACATTATTGTAGCTTAACTCAATTATCTATGAAGCAATTGATCTTGTTCTCACAATCTACTCATCCTTGCCTGGCACATGATTGCATCTGCATTTATTAAATCCATCAACAGAAACCGCGACATGAATCTTCTCTAAGATCAAGAACACAGTTGTTGGACTTGGACATAAGAGCGGCTAGAGACTAACCACAATATCTCATGGTCTTGCACTTTTCTGGGACGAGTTGTCCAAATGCAGCCTATCCCTTGCCAGGTTTGTGTTTATCCATATTTCTTTATGTCTAAATGCCCTTCCATCTTTTCACATTTGGCCCCGGTACTTTTGTTTTATTCCCAAATGCGTCTTCACTTTTAAGCAAATGCAATTGAAGTCAAACAAGTGAATGAAATCTTCCATTTCGTGGCCCACATGCATGTACAAGATCTATAAAAAGTGCCTAAAGGCAAACAAGCACGTACAAGATCAACACAAAAAAGAGCGTGTTCTCGGTTCCCCTGGTTTGTTTCCCAGTTCTTGATTTCCGATTCCCAATTCTCGGTTTCTGATTTCCGGTTCCTAAAAAAATGGAACCGTGAACCGGACTTGGTTCCCACCGGTCCGATTCCAAAGTTTCCGGTTTTATCATGAAATTATGCTCACCCTTACTATTAGCTAATAATTTTACGTGTACCTATACGTATATGTAGACGTGGTGAAGATATAAGTAGCTATGTATCGATGGATCTTAAAATGGTCATTGTTTCTTTGGTTTGGTAGCTGGTTATATAGTTTCTGGTGGACTGTTTAATGTGATGATCTTGTTGTCATTTGATACGAAGCATACGAGATTTTTACCACACGTTTTTGTCGTGCTATGAGTTGACAGCTCGAAATACAATATTGTTAATGTCCTTGTTTGTTTTAGGATTAATACCACGAAAAACCCTAAACTGATACATTTGTGACAAATTTACCTCAAATTAATTTTTTAACTATAAAAAATTCCAAATTGATACTCCTGTGACAAATTTACTCTCCTTTAATTTCTATTTAATTTTATCATCAAATTGCTGAGTTGGATGACACATGACAATTAACGGGTGTACCAATTTAAGGTTTTACCCTCCGTTTGTTTCAGGTTTACCGGTTTGTGATTTTTTTGTGGTATTAATCCAATTTAACGGAAACTAACGAATGATAAATTTGTCAGAGGAGTTCCAGTTTGGGGTTTTTGATAACCAAAAAATTAGTTCGAGGTAAATTTGTCACAAGTGTATTAGTTTGAGATTTTTTGTGATCAAAAAATTTTGAGGTAAATTTGTCATAGGTGTATCAGTTTGGAGTTTTTCGTGGTATTAACCCTTTTATTTTATAGTGGTTAAAGCTTTATAAATAGCCGAGTAAAACCTATAATCACAAAACCTTTAGGGTTGACTTAGCAGATAGTGGTGTTGGAAGATTTCCAACTTGGGAATTAAGGTCGTTTGCACAAACTGTTCTGAATTAGGATTACCTGTACAAATAAGATAATTTGGACTTGACGGGTTCACGGGGTTTGTAGGGAGTTCCATTAACCTTCAAGTAGCCAAGTCATCGCACTCGTATCATTGTTTGTAAAAAATAAACTATAGTTATTGATTTACAAATCACTAGACCTCACTGCATTTTTCTGTGGTCTGTTTGATTGGGCATGCAGATTCTGTACTGCTTTGTTCGTGTGCTCATGGTTGTACTGTTATAGGCGAGTGAACTGATACCACCAAAAGCTACGAAAACTTGCAATATACTTATCAATTCTGTCGAGACTTACTTTCATAGGCGGAAAGAAAACGCATGGTATAAACTATGAGAGCCTAGCTCATTTGGACGGTTGATCAGTGGGGCCGACGTGGGGACCCAACATGATTAACAATCTAGATGGCCTAAGCCCACTGGTTTTATGTACCATGCAAAACCAGCTCTCCAAAACTGGGCACAACATGCACAACATGCGAGTGATGAAGGATCAATTCAAGAATATTAAGCCTCATCTAACAATTAAGAGCACATTGCTTGAAGGTCAACTGCAAACTATGCTAGCAGAATTTTAAGGCTCACTCTTTTATAGATTTTGATGAGGATTTCATGCTTCAATCTAGTCTCATAAATATATGGTTCCAGTAGCTTCAAATGTATCGAGTTACGTGCAATTTGAAATTATCTAGAGGAAGTTAAATGCTAAGTGTTTGCGAGGAAATCTGAGATGTATGTAGTCGTTGAGTCATATTTATTGCATTTTGTTTCTACAGTCATGTTGATTCAACAGTCAATGTTCTTATTTACGTATTGTTCGGAGATAGTGTGAGTCTTGTCTTAGGAATAGAAGATTAGGAGTCTTAACCACTTGGGGCTTACCCCAATGGGAAGGTGGAGAGTTCGACACTCCCCTCCTCCGGAGAGGGGGATTTACTTTCGAGTAATAGGTTCAAGACTTTTTTGGTGCTTTTCTTGGGATTTATGAGTTTATGGGATTTCCCCAGGTGGATCCACTGGGAGCCTGCGAAGCTCCTCTTAGAGGAGCTCCAAAATTCAGGAATAAACCTCGCAGACAAAAAAAAAAAACAGAAGATTAGGAGTCTTAGGTTTCGTTTGTGTTTGATGAGATGTTCCAAAAGTTGAGTCCATATAAGCCACTCTTAAGACTTCTTTGAGGAGTAAATTATAGTGTCTTGTTCAATGAAGTTTATATTTGGACTCTTCGATTAGATTGTAACTTCGCATCTCTTCAGTGAAATTTTTTTTTGGTCCCGTCTTGAGTGGATTTTATTGAGTGATAAGTTACACATCCTAAAAGTGGATTCCTTAGCTGTGGTGAACATCTATCCTCTAATATGCCCTGTTCCCTGAGGAAGATTTTTGAGGTGGTGAGCATTTTCTTTGTTGCATTTACGCTATCTTCTAAATCTCAGACCCCTCCAAGATCAGTAAAGTTTATGTCGGACTAGGGAATAGAGAGGATGAGGATGATAATTCAGTCTTTCGTAACTCATAACGGGGGTGATTGTAAATCAAATTCAAAAGCATGTTATCACAAATTTGTTGAAATGTAAATCAAGCAAGTAATTAGGTCAATGGCGACGATCCCGACCAGCCCCTTCAAGTCCTTCCCTCCTTTACTTTGATTGTCTTGATTTATGTCATATGGCACTCACGTAGGAATCAATCTAATTCCAAGAATTCGAACCGTTTTCTGCTCATCCCTAGGCCCCTGTGCACAACCTCAAGTATGGAACAATATGTGGATGATGGGAAATCAATATTGTATGATCTTCTCCCGAACAGTATATCAGAAAAGACGAATTGCAAATTTATCCATGAAACTCGAGATTTCCTCGGTCACATATATACATAACATTTGAAAGAAAAGTATTAATGGGAACAACATCTCCTGGACAGTCTATTTCCCATCCCAAAATCCCCGTGCAAACTCGAGCATGGCAAAAGACACAAAGATGAGGTACCATAGATAGACTTGCAGCACTCAAGAGAACAAGGAGTAACATACATATATATGATCTTTCCCAGAATGTCAACCAGTAAAGGTGCTCAAGGCTCTGACCCAAAAAAAGAATAGAAAAGATGATCAAGATAATTTAACCATGGTTCGCCTGTCAAGAATAAATAAAGGGAAGGCAACAACAGATTACCTTATCGACAATCATCCCCACTCATTAAAACATTTAATTCGAAAGCACTCACGGGGTACTCTGTCATTCTGTAGTACCAACCTCAAAAGTCCAAAGGGCAATTCTAATAGCACTGACCTTCTCCAACATCCAGGTCTGGCTCTCTTTATAGACAAAAGCTTCATCAAATCCAAGTTTATTCTTCAGAAGGTCGACCCAAATATTTCCTTTTTTTTACTATTAGATGTTTCTCTGCAATCTGCACTTAACAGAATGGAAGTGCAGTTCATGACTAACAGACTTGCCTTTTGGCTTGAGCCAGTACTTCCAACAGCCACGCAATTCAATTTCAATAGGACACAATTGGAATAGAAGAATAAGGGCGCTTTGTTCAGTAACAGTATCTACAAGAACCTAAGCTCTCCAGAATGGGGGCTCCAGTCCACAAGCTTTTTTACCTCTGGATTTTGTGTACATCAAGTTGTGCAACTGTCTTTCATGAATGATGTTAAAGGTCGTGTCCAAGAATGATTTAGAAACCAGCCCATCCTGCAGGTTGAGAAGATGATTTGTTCTCCATTAACTTTGAATCACCAAACCGCTGGGAAGTGCCTCCTTCTCGAATGGGTTTTGATATCTGAGAGCTGGCATTGGGCATAGCAGTAAAACTCTCCGAGCCAAAGCCCCATGTCTCGTAATTAGATGCTGCTTGAGTGCCCTGCTTATTTTGTTGACCATTTCTCGTCCTAACAGATTTGGTGGTGGTATCCCTTGAAAGAGGCTGCTTTGGCTTAGGATCATCGGTGAAAGCCTGCCATGATGTGGATTCTGAGCTTCGAAAATTCTTCTCAACTTTTTCCTGACGGATGTCCCAGTTGGTTTTTCTAGTTTCCTCTGATGGCTGTATTAACCGAAATGGTTGTCAACGTAGAATGTAACACAACCTAATAATTGCATATGATGGATAAAATCAGACAAAAAGAGAACAAAATTACCATAGCAGCAGCAGATGACTCGGTTCTAGTAGGGGTTTGAATTCTCATAGCATCCCTGCTTGGTGATGGAGCTCTAGCAGCGAGAGCTTGTTTGAGTTCCTGTATTTCCTGCCTCTGAGATCGGCAGATGGCAGATAGCTTTTCATATTTAGAAGTCATCTCAGTCTTCTCTAAGTTTGCCTGCTTCAGCTGCTCTTTTAGCCTCTCTAATTCAACCTCCAAATCTTCTTCCTTTTGCGTCCTGTGATTGCTGATACTAGAGCTAAACTTTTTGGTATCAAATTCAGCGACGAAGGTATTGAAACTATTATCTTGAAAAATGGCCGCATTCTCAGGTTTTGATGCTCCTGGTCTCTCGTTACCCTGGTCTGAATCTTTTTGGGAGAAGTTTATCTCGAAGTCTTTATGATGAATTCCCTCAGGCCTAAGGTAGTTTTGTCCATGTGCACTCCTCCGAGTAGGTTGTGGCTGTACATTTACCTCTTTCTTCGGATAAGTGTTCTTGGAGAAAGTATGATTCTCTGCATGCTCTCTGTCAAGTTTTGACGTTCTATGACTTGTTGGTTCTTCATCGAACTTTGGGCCAGTATTATCCTCAGCAACAACTGAACTCTTTGCATGCTGAGTAGACCAGAAAGCACCGAGCTGCCCCCCACCTCCACCTGCTTTAATATGAGGTGACGATTTGACTGAGTCACCATATGAAGGTGGGGGAGGTGGACTTCTACGAGGCACTGGTGACACCCGATTTGTGGACTTTGGAATGCCTGGAGGATAAGGAAGCTCACCTTTTTAAGTCTTAAATAAAGCAGAGAAGTAGACATTGTCGAACGAAGATCTGTCACTTGAATACTTGAGTGACTGAGTTGTAAACTTACAGAAATTTATTAACAACAAATACTGCGAATCAAACTACCTGCACTTCAAAAGGGTTTCATATATATGAATTAAGTCACTCAGTTCATGGTATCAATTCCATGTTTGAGAAGAACAAATGTCAACTAACAGGACTACCTTCATGAATCTCTGCCGATTGCATTTCTGGGGGCTGATCAGGCAAAGACTTTTGCTGTCCAACAGGTAACTGCTCATTAACACGGAACCAGACCTGCCACCAGGGGAAGAAATTGCCAAAATCAGTGAAGCAGATTGTTGAAACTCCAATGATTGTTGCCAAAATCTATGACTAGTTTAATTTCATCAAGATCAGTGGCCGATCAAGCAAAGCACTTGCCTGCGTGATGTCTGGTCTGGCATCTGGAGAAGCTTGAAGCAGGTCATTAATTAGATCCGTGATGAAAGAGCTGTATTTTGGTAACTCTGGAATACGATAATTCCCGTTCAGGATTTGTAGCTTGGACTCTCCATCGAATGCAGATTTCAAGTAGCAAATCCGAAAGAGGAGGCATCCAAGGGCCTAGGATGAAAAAGTAAATAAGTTCCAACTGACTTTTATACTCCTCCCTTCAAACAGAAAATAAATGCCAACTTCACATACCCATATATCTACTTTTTCGTTTAGGACCTCCTTTCGATATAAATCCCACATCTAAATCAGAAAGGGAGCAAACGGGATCAGACATTTTTTCCACTAGGGTCAACAACATATATGTAAATGCACAAATTTTTATATTCAACCTCAGGAGCCCTGTATGCAGGTGTCGTGTGCTTCCTGATATTGTCTTCTTCAATACCCATTTCTTCAGGCTTCTCAAACCGTTTGTGATTGGTAGAGGTGCTTCCGAAATCACACAACTTCCACAGTCCATCAGTCCCCAACAAAAGATTCTCAGCCTTCAAGTCCCTAGGCAATTAAACAAGGACTCCTTAGAATGCAAGATGAAGATTGCCTCCAACAATTGGAAAGGGAAAAACAAGATAATTCTGTAGATAGAAAAAGCACATCAAGGGTGCTTTTATTGCTCCTTCCCATTTTTTATTTTTTCCGATCTGAAAACTATCCTCCAATACTCCCAGCCAAAACATACACTCAAAAATAGATGATATCCACTAATCTTTAGATTTGATCTTTGGATATTCTTTTCATCAGTCATTTTCATGATTAAAATGCATCAGACCCAAAAGTGGCCAGACTGAACTCAGTCACCAGTTTCTTTGCTTTCAACCAATAACACAATCTAGAGTCTCAATTGCTAATAAAGGGCACAAGTTATACCATATGTTATATAATCCGAGTACCAATAAGTCTGATCCAACAGAGAGACCATAACAAGTATAAAGATCATATAAATGCCAACTCATGTATCCACTCCGATTAATCTTTCTGAAGCAAATTTCTTCCTAGTAGGCTAGAACAGAAAGGTGGCATTATAAGACCTTTTGCTAGATGCCAATACTCTTTGACGAAACAGAGATCACGCAGAAGGTACAACGATTAGGAGTAATGATCAGCAACTATAAGTACAACAGCAAGAATATTAAATACCAAGGTATGTGCTGTAGGATTTCTAAATTTCAGCCATTAATTTAAGCACGTAATGGCAAAATCCGAATAAATCGTCAAGAACTCATTTTTCTATAAGCAACCAAGGAAGAGCAGGATTATCAAATTGCACCTGTTGGGTCTAACTCGGGCGGGAAGGATGCACGGAAGGCTAATGGGATTGAAAGAAATCACATCTTTAAAGGTGCCATATATATACAATCAGAGGGAGTCTGCTGTCAAGTGTGTCAACTCATTTAATCGATTAAATAGCAAAGATCAGTAGCGAACAGATTAGAGGAGTAGCATCATTGCAGTGGGTGGAATGAGAGAGGAAATTACAAGTTTCTTCCTTTCTTTACATGGATCACCAAAAGCTCATATTTTTTCCTTCTCTATTATGGATGAGCAGGGACTAGCTTGCATTGGCAGACATGTCGAATGCAATAAAAACAAGGCAGAAGCTGGGATACTATGACAATTACCTATGAGCGACGGGAGGCGACTGGCAGTGCATTGCGAAAACGGCATTACAAACATCCCTGAACATCACCAATATCTGTTTTTCCTCAAAATGCGCAGCTCCTCTGCTCTCCAACACATTAACCAGGGACTTCTCGCAGAAATCCATCAAAAGCAGAACTTCTTTGGTCCGTCCCATGTCCAAAACAGTGTGAGCATGAAGTGCGACTACGTTCGGATGCCCCGCCAGCGATTTCATGACCGAGATCTCCTTCACCGCGACTTCCAGCGACTCCTCGTCGTTGCAAATTATGTGCTTCAGAGCAAACTGTTTGGACATATGCAGAGCATCCCGAGCCAAGTAAACGCAGGAAAACCCACCCTCGGCAATGATGTTCCGGACATGAACCTTAACGTTCCCGATGTCGATCGTGCGACCTTCGAGTCCAGCCTGCTCTTTATGCGCGAACGCCTTGAACCTCCACATGGTGTCCGGGCGATGCTGGGTTCAAAGGGTCACCGAGATCTCACTCTGGCGTGCGATTCGCGATCTGGGTCGCGCGCTCCCCCAGATCCCAGATCGCCGGCGATCCGGATCCGCCGGGCGCGCCGTTCCGGAGAGATGGGTAGGCACGGAAACCGACCGGGAACCGAAACCCTCTGGAGCTGAAGGGGAAGAGGAGGAAGACCAAGCTCGCCCTGTTTGAGCTGCAATTCCGTCTTCTTGGTGGCTGGCTACTCTGTTGTGGGTGGTGGTGAAAAAGTGCAACTTTAGACGGCTGGTCGCTGGTTTGATAATGAAAAGAGCATTATGCTTACCTTTGAAGGAATGAATACGTTGAAAACAGAGGATCAACGCGCTTTCGAACCTATTTGATTGAACTGAATAACTCCCAAATGTTTGATTTTTGTTGTTGAGTCTATTATAGTTATTTTTGTGGAATTGGTTTACGAAATTTTATCGAATTATTTTGAACCCCACCAACTTAATTAACCATTTCATTTGCATACTCGTTTTGTAAAATAATTTCACGAACCCAACTTAATATACTCCTCCGTGTTGTTCAACTAGATTTCTATTCTTTATTTCTCACCCTTTCGATTGAATAGTATTTGTTTGCCTTAGAATTTAGGAAATAGGAGTCGGACAGGAGATAGTTATGCCATTATTTGAAGATTGGTCGGATGTTCAACAAATTTCGAATCATATCGGTTGATATTCCAGAAAATAAAGTACAATTGATTAGACTTCAATTTGTGTTATATGACAGAACTACACTGTAACTCCATTGTCCTTTGAACGGTGTCGTTTTGCCAAATGGGACTCCCTCCGATCAAAATATGTCAAACTCGGGAAGCCTTCCACTCGTTTGTATTGAAGAAATGGTTGCAAAAAAAATGGAACACAATAGAAAAATCATTAAAAGGATTTCTGGGTCTAACTAGGTATAATTATAAAAGGATTTATTGGCAATATGGCCAGATTTGCAGGCCTCCAGCAAACCTTCTCAAGAAAGATGCCTTTATGTGGGATGAGGCGGCTACTAAAGCATACCAGCACATATATCTGAAGGAATTGATGTCCCAAGCACTAGTCTTAGCTTTGCTGGATTTCAGTAAGCCATTTGTCATTGAAACCAATGCATCTGCCGGCGGCATTGCCGCATTTATAATGCAGGAGGGATATCCCCTTGCTTTCATCAGCAAAGCTTTGTCGACTAAACATCTGAGTTCTTTCACTTCATGACATAAGAATTGATGGCACCAGATCATGCTGTCTCTAAATGGCATCCTAATCTCATGGGAAGGCTTCTTTTTCTGTCATCAAAACTTAGTGTGAAGTTCTTGATGAGTCAAAAAATCCACAATGTGAGCCACTGAAATGGTTGGCCACGCTTATGCCCTATGACTATGAGATATGTTTCGAGCAAGGGAAGGAAAATGTAGCTGCTGATGCGCTGTCGAGACTCCAGTATTCTTAAACATTTGGCAATCACTTTGACACTTGTGGAGCCATCTCTTTTGCGAGAGATCAAGCTGAGCAGGGAGCAGGATCCCAAATTTGAGCCACTCATTCAACAGCTCAGCAGCTCTCATTCTACCGCCTCTTCCTACGTGTGGCATAAGGGCACCTTAACAAAGAAGGGCAGGTTGGTAGTGGGCAAGAATGAATAATTAAGGAAGAAATCATACTTCTTTACCGCAACTAATCCATGGCTGGTCATTCTGGAGTGGGAGCAACATAAAGAGAGTTGCGTCCACTTTTTACAGGAAGGGGGTTGAAGAACAAGTTAGCCAATGCTGCTACTCCTGCCTTGTTGCAGCCTTTACCTATTCCTGACGGGGAATGGCAGGAAGTGAGCATGGACTTTGTTGCTGGCCTTCCTAAACCCCAAGAAAAAGATGTAATCTTTGTGGTGGTAGATTGGTGCAGTAAATATGCTCATTGTATTGGCCTTCAGCATCCTTATTCAGCAGCTCAGGTTGCCCAAGCTCATATGGACAGTGCCTATAAACTCCAGGGTCTCCCCAACAGAGTTGTGAGTGATCGAGATATTGTCCTCATCAGCAAATTTTGGGCTGCACTCTTTGAACTACCGAAGGTGGAGCTGTTAGATGTATGCCCTAAAGTTACCATGTAATAGTTACATGTTAGGGATTTAAGTTGTACTTTCAATTACATTATTTATTTAATGGCAAGGACGCATTCATTCATTTGTCCAATTATTTAAATATATGAATGATTCCATACGATCAGTTGTGACTGGATCTATTCTTGAGACGTTAAGAATATGTGTGACAGGTTCACAGTTAGACTGAATCTTTAAATTGTTCTCGGTCGATGGATCATTGAGTGGATATTAATGATCCTGTTGAGACCGGTGTGTTCGTAACTTCACCAATAAGTATTGGATACTTAAGAGAATGACGAGTCACGGGTCATTGGATATTGCGATACCCGAGTTAGAACACAGGTGCTTGTATCAGACAAGTTCACTGAACGTGACATGCATAGAACGATTAGCAACATGGAAACTTTTAGCGTGGTCAATGTCTAATCGTTCGTGCTCTGGTCTTGTATGGATAATCCTTAGACCTGAGGTACAGTGTTGACTTGTATGTTGGATGGCTATGGTTCACAGGTGCGCATATTGCCGCTTCGTTGATTCGTCTCTGTACTTGATGGCCATAGTTCGTTCACATACGAAGTTACACGTGTGCGCAAAATGGAATCTGTCTCCATGTTATATGCAAGGTATAATAATGATGTCCTATGCAATCTAATCTTGACATTGCATTGAAATCCTCGGCCGGGGTTGTAACCGAGAATGAACTGTTCATGTCTCATATAAAGTGCATGTCAATTAGATTTGTGCATATGATCGAATTGGTGACTTGACAAATATTCCATGGTCTTTGTTCGATCGGGACATAGTAAGGCAGAGGGATTGAATTACACTGTAACCAAAGCTGACAGGTTCATTATGTTCTTAAAACATTCACACTGTCTGGGTAGCCATGACATATTGCTAGATGTCAATCATGGCTTGTAGAACCTAGAGGTTGATCGGGACAATCAATTCTCTTGGGAGTACTAATGTGTTAGTGCAAGTCTTACTACTAGCTCAGTGATGAACCTAGGGATGTCACACACCATAACCAATTTTGGATGACGTAGTACGGAAGAGACGATATAGCAAATATGTTTGCAATCGAATTGAATCGGACTGAAATTAAATTAAATGGGATTTAATTTAATTCAATTTTTGTCATGGGCATGTGTGCATATGATGCTCACAAAATACACATATGCTAATCATGCACTTCTATATTTGTATATACATGTTTATATTTATTTATAAAAAAAAAAAATTGTCGCATGCACGTGGCCAGCAAGCGCTGACCATGTGCATGGCACACGGTCAACAAACGGTTGCTGACCGTGTGCATGACACACACGATCAGCAACCGTTGCTGATCGCGTGCAACGTGCACACATGCGATCAGCAACTGTTGCTGATCGCACATTATTAATGATGCGATCAGCAACTGTTGCTGATTGCACATTATTAATGGCGCGATCAGCAACAGTTGCAAATATGATGAAGAAAGCGTATGCAATTAATTATGTGTTTGTAAGAGTTAAGAAAAACATTTTTTTCTCTCTTCCGACGCCGTGACTGAAATATCGAGAGTGCGAAGAATTGTCGCAACAAGATTGCTAGCACAATTTTATTGGTGATTATCCGCAAGTTCTTTCTTCTGTTCGTCGTGCGATTGGTGGTGTGTCTGAACTAGAGGTCCGACGGTTGTGGGGCTCGAACTGAAGAACATCCGAACCGAAATCGTTTTGGGCACGCTACGAGAGGTAATCCGTTTAACCCCCTATGGTCTTTCGATTTTTTGATTGAAACGCACGAACAACGCCTTTGGAGATACATGTATGGTTATAATTTTCCGCTGCGTTTATATTTAATTTTAACCATGCATGTTCCGTAGAAAACCAACAGGAGCTACATCATTTGTTCAGCTTATCATCTGCAGAAAATTTGGCGGTCAGCAGATGTTTAGAGTCTTATCTTGGGTGTATGACTCATGATTGTCCCACTGGATGGATGAATTGGCTTTCCTTGGCATTGTGGTGGTACAACACTAGTTATCACAATTTTACTAGAATGATGCCTTTCGAGATTGTTAATGGTTACACATTACCAATCCACATTCCATATGTGCCTAAGGATGTTGTGCTTCCTGCTGTTGATCAAAGATTACGAGATCGAGAAGTCGTGACTCATCTCTTGAAGGAGCACTTGCATTGGGTGCGAAATACGAAAATAAGATGAAGAAACTAGCCAACTGTTAGGATGCACGTGTGAGTTGTGTTAGAGAAATCCCATATCGGATAATTGATGTGGTGCAGAGCAATTAATATATCCTAATTAGTTCATAACTCATTGGTTTAAGCTTTTGAATGAAGGTGGATCCAATTGGATATATTAACAGGCTCGGACTTAGGCTCTCTCTTGGTGATCTCTTCGGGTGAAAGGTATTGGGTTTGGTGATCTCTCCTGGTAAAAGGTATTGGGCTTGGTGATCTCTCTGGGTGAAAGGTATTGGGCTTGTTCCAGGCTCGGTCTCGGACTTAGACTCCCTCTTGGTGATCCCCTCGGACGAAAGGTATTGGGCTTTTGCTGATGCGGTCCTAACATTGACTCTTGGTTCAACATTTGGAAAAAACTTTTGAGTAAATGTAAAGATCTTTAGTTTAAAGGCTTTTCATGAAAAGCAAAGACAGTTTGGTAAACTTTAATTGAAAAACGCATTGGGATGCAACTTTGAGAGAAATGCTATTTGGTAAAATTACATACGAAAAGTCTTTTAGTGTGATCAATTAAAGCTTTTTTTTTTAATTTCTAATTTGTTTAAAATTGGAAAAGACAACGTTTACAACTTTTACAATTTTAATGTTGAGAACAATGTAAAATAAACGCATTAACAAATTTATAAATAAAAAAACGCATTTCTTTTTTGGCTAAAAAAAACAAATGGATCATAACAACGGCGGGTTATTTGATCATGTAATTGTGTAACCCCCTTTAGGGATGAGCATGGGTCCAGGATAAAACCTGGAACCTGACCGGTGGGAATCTGTAAATTCTAGATTCCAAGGTATGCATGGTAAGTTCCAGATTTCAAAAATTAGGATACCTGTTTCGACGAATAGGATCTAGGTTCTAAGTAGGTGAAACATAGAACCTGGAACTTTAAGCAAGTTTTGAAAAATGCATTGGGCTTCTGTTGTTGTAGTCCTAACATTGAGTCCT